AGGAGGAGGAGGAGGAGGAGGAGGAGGTGTGGGGAGGGGGAGGAGAAGGAGGAATCAGAGTGTGGGGATGAGGACGAGAAGGAGAAGGAGCAGGAGGAAGAGGAAGAGGAAGCAGGGTGTGGGGAAGAGGGAAGGAGGGTTTAGGGAGGAGGAAAGGAGGGTAGTGGAGGAGGGGAGGGGGGGGATAAATTAATCGCTGGTCGCTGACATGCCTAACCAGGCAATGTTGACCTCGGGTCACTCTGGCAGTGCGCAAGGTTTACAGGTCTCAGTTGACCTGAATACTTCTGACGGCTGGCGGATTTTGGCTGTTTTCTTGGCTGACATTAATTTGTTACCATGGCTCCTGGGTGTCTCTATGGTCTGTTTTGTTGGGTAGTTGGGATTTTTTTTTTTTTTTTTTTTTTTTTTTTTTTGGGGGGGGGGGGGTGTGGGGGGGGGTTTGGGGGGGTTGGTCTGTGTGTGTGTGTGTGCGTGTGTGCGTGTGTGTGTATGTGTGAGTGTGTTTTCTTATGGATTGTTTTTGTGTTTTGTGTTGTTTGTTTTTGTTATTGCTTTTGTTTTGTTTTTTCTTTTGTTTTTTCTTTGGTTTTTTTGGCATTGTTTTAAGTAAATTTTCTTTAAATTGTTTGGTTGGTACTTTTATTTTGTTGGGACAGGTGATGTCGGAATGGAGGGGGGAGGGAGGAGGGAACAAAATTAACAGGGGAGAATTGGGTGGGCAGTTAGTAAGGCAAGATTGAGAAAATGAGCAGGTGTGTGCAGCAAGTAAGGCAAAAATTTAGAGATCAGTATATTTACAGAGAGTGGGTGGTTGGCGAGTGCTCTGGTGTGGTTTGCTCTTTTTTTCCTATCACTCATTCTTATCTCTTGTTGTGTTTATTATTACTCTTTGTTTAATAACACCTATAGTATTTGACACTTTTATGACCTAATTGTGTAACAAGTGCCGTTAAATACTTATTAAAACAAATTATTACAGAGAGAGAGAGGGGGGGTGGGGGGCTCGTTGTCCAGATGTTACGGTGTTCATCTCTCTCTCAATACGTTTTAGGTTCGAAACCTGACAACGACGGAGAGTGTTCTTCTCTCATCTAAAATGTTCCCCTTTCACCTCCTTTCCTGCTCCCTAACCTTGTTTTGTCGTCTGCTTTCGTCTCCTTTTTCTGCCCCCACCCCACCTCCTCTGGGATCCTGACTCTTTCTGCAGCCTTTCTACTGCTTCTCCTTGGCTCCTCCTTATCTTTGCGTAGGTAACATTTAACACCTATACTTCTCAGATAAGGGCAAAAAAACTCTGAGGTTCCGAGTGCAAGTTGCTCACGTTAAAGATCCCTTGGTTAAAAATCGACAAGAGTAGGCTTCGGCCTCCACCAGAGCAAAATTCAAAATTTATTTCTACCAAAACTAACAATAATTATTAATGTTTCCCGCGCGCTCAAATAACCTTATGCAGTTGCGAGCGCAGTAAAATAATTACGGCACCAAACAACAAACAAGAGAACGTAAATCCAAGTGAATAACTCAATGTATAACATATTATCTCTCTCTATTTTCCCCGTAGGTGAACACAACCTTGTAGACAACTTCCGGTTGAGAAATCTGCTTCCCGAGGACACCGCCCGGTTCTGGCGATACCAGGGCTCTCTGACCACGCCCCATTGCTACGAGTCAGTCACGTGGACGGTGTTTGCGCAGCCGCAGAAGATTTCGAAGACTCAGGTAAGATTTTTTTACAACTGTTTTATAAGTCAACACTCTGGCCACCGTAATAAATCGTTTGACAATTGTTTTATCATTCAACACTCTGGCATCGTTTGACCATTGTTTTATCATTCAACACCTTGGTATCGTTTGACCATTGTTTTATCATTCAACACCCTGCTGGAAAGATATATCGTTTGACCATTGTTTTATTAGTCAAAACTCTGATAGACATAATAAAATAAGTCATTTCGACAGCTTGGGGTGAAGAGTAATTAAAAGTAAGCGTATATATGAGTTCATTGCCCCTGTCAACACTATGGGGTTATTCAAGATGTCGAACCTCCGAATTTAACATCTATTCCCTATACAACAGAGCCAAATTGGCTGAGAGCTTTTCAGGCCCCCACAAAATGACCCGAGTTCAAGACCACCCAAGTCCCCCTTGCTCTCTACCGTTCTCCACCCCTTCCCATCTTCCTCCCCTCATCCCTCCATTATCTCCCTCTCCTTAATTCCCCCATTTCTCTCTCCCCCGCCCCTATCTTCCCTCCTCTATCCCCGTCCCTTACCCCACCTACCACTTTCTCTATCCCCTCCCCCCGCTCTATTCAACCCCCACCCACCCAGTTCCATCTTTTCTCTGACCCCTCCTCCTCTCCACACCATCCCTTTGTCTTCACGACTGGTACCACAGAGTTTTCTCCTCAACAGCTGGAGACTCTCCGATCCCTTCTCTTTGAGGAAGGTCACGAGGTCACGAACAGAGGCCCGGGTCACCACAACTCCCCAGCGCGACTCGTGGACAACTGGAGACCTCTACAACCTGTCAACGGCAGGCTGGTGAGGCGGAGTTTCCCCATCAGCCCCGCCCCAAGCCCCGCCCAGCTCCACGTAACGCCTGACGCCAAAACGTCAGACCAGGACGACTCGAACAAGACGCCGGACAATTCTCCTGCCCAAACGGCGCCAGACGTCGGAACAGCGTCCTCCGCCAACCAGGCCGAGACTATTTCTGCTCTCCGACAAAAAATCCTCAGCATAGAGCGTCAAATGAACGTTGCAACGGCAGGCCAGCCTCTCGTGACCAATATGACGTCACCACTCGTGGATACCAGCTCATCTGTGGCTCTTCCTTCTGCTCAAATGGGATTCAACACGGCATCGTCGACAGGCACGAACCAAGCCATCCCGGCCTCTACGTCTAACATATTGAGAATGACAAATGGGAATTTCCCCAAACAAGTTCCCCAGATTGACAATTTCAGCCGTCTCCCCGTGCTGCCTAATACAGGTTCGGTACCCGAGAACTCTGTACAAATGATGAACGGGAGAAGCACGAACGATGTTCTTGTTCCGAGAAACAACGTCGTCGCCTCACCTGCCGCCTCCCCTACCTTGTATTCCCCCCTAGCAACGCAGCGAAGTGGCGTATTACAAGGACCTCTGGCTTTGCCTCAGACTATGTCTCTCCCGAACGACAACCTCGGGTTACGGGCTAACCCACAAGTTTCGGCCAACCAGCCAGCGGCTATGCCTCGTCAACAAACTCAGCAGCACACAGGTATGCAAGGCTCAGGTCAGATGCAACCAGCCTACGCTCAAGCTCGACTCAATAACCCTCTCAGTTCCCAGAGATTGGTTGGAAACGTCGTCAACCTCGGCAACGGCAACAACTATCAAGGCAACAGCATCGGTAACAACAATAATACTAGCAGCAGCAACAACATTTTAAAGGCGAGGACTCTCCAGCAGAACTCGCTACCCAGCGTCCAGCAATACAACCTCCAGCAGTCAGCTCTGTTGACAGGTCAGAAAGGAGCCCCACCCCTCAGTCAAGCAGCCCCCTCCCTCAGTCCTAGCTCTGACCTCCTCCCACCTCAGCAGTCACTCACACAATACATCCTACAGCAGAAACAGAGACAGCTACAACTGCAACTACAGGAACAGCAGAAGCAGCAACAACAACAACAGCAGCAACAGCAACAGCAACAGCAGCTCCAGCAAAGATTGCAACAGCAAGCTCTTCTTGACCAACAGCAGAAACAGCAGCAGCAGCAGATTCAGATCGGTCAGCGTCCAATGGGGTTTATGGTCAAACAACAGCAGCAACAGCAACAGAATCAGGGAAGTGTTCTCTCACCCAGCTTACCCAGATTGGGACAGCCCTCTGTACTCCGAAGTATGCCCCCTGTTGTCAGACAACAACAGAAGACGCCGCTGTATCCTCAGACACAGAGCAACATGTACCCACTACAGCTCCAACGACAACAACAACAACAGCAGCAGCAACAAGGAATTAATAAATCTATGCACCCACAGCAGTTGCGAACCATCCTCCACCGACTCTCCTCCATGAACCGCGTCAACACCAAACTGACACCCATCACATCTGGGGCTGCAAGGATTCCAACGCAGCGTATCTCTGACCTCAACTCTGTCAATCCTCAAGCCACGCCCACCTCTCCTGGGAGGGCAGCCTACGTCCTTAGACGCCCTGGGACCAATGGGATGCAAGTTATGTATCGCTCCAATCCGGCTTCTCAAAGGCTACATTTGCCCCGCCCCGCGGCAACTTCTGTTTCAAGAGTGATTGGACCAGCATCGAGGAGTGTGGCTTCTTCACCATCAGCGATGAGTTTCGCCCACCCACAACCACAGCAAGCTCAGCCTCAGGGCGCTTCGATGCCCCGTTACACTGACGTCACAGCAATGGAGAGAGGAGGCGGGGTTGGAGGAGGAGCCACGGCCTTGCGAAGCTCCAATCGTAACTTGAATGCGGCTAGGGGTAGGAATATGATTCTACGAGCAGACAAAGGCGTGACTGAGGAAGTACCTCACGTCTTTCTGCACCGGCTCCAACAACCAGTGCGTATCCGCAGACCTTTCTACGAGCGACTCTACAACTGGCAACAAAAGAAGCCGTCGTCATCACCTTCCTTACCATCATCCCGATTAAGACAACAGCTTTTATCGTTACACCCCAATGCGGGGGAACTCACTGAATTTCGATAGACGATTTTTCATTATTAAATAAGCGGTAAAACATTGACCTCCCCCCCCCCTCTCCCCCCAAAAAAATTGGAAAAGAAAATCAACTTCAATTCTGCAAACTGTAAAAAGACGAAATGCGAGAAAACTCAACGATTCATTTTCTAAGACATTGGTGATTTCTGATTTCTTCAACTGACTTGACGAACTGCTCACCAACTTCACTGCTGGTTAAAGACCAAAGGAAGAAAAGTTCAAGGTTCAAAGTTCGAAGTGAGAGTGTGAACTGTATTCCAGAAAGCGTTTCTAGATCTCACGAGATGTCAGTAAAACTGAGTTTGTCTCCGTCAGACTAGGTAGGCGAGGAAACGACAACTCAGAGTGACGTGATAATAATATAGGGGAGACAAAGCCAGTCTCGATGTCCAGAGCTCCAGGGGTCAGACGAGTGGTCAACTGTGGGCGAGGTCAGCACATTATCATGCAGAGCAAGCGAGTGATGTATTCAGATTCTGTATTCATTATCAACCAGCCGAGTAACCTTATGAGTTAATCGCCCCTGTTTGTCCGATTCGCTGACTTGCTGTGGCAGTTACTACTTCTCATTTGTGTTGGTATTAGCCTGAACATTTTTTTTTGAGTTTTTTTTTTTTTTCCACATATCATGAATATTTTTGTATTCCCTCTCTCCTGGGCTGTAGGCAATGTTTCGTGGGTTTTTGTTGTTTTTTTGTTTTTGTTTGTTTTTGTTGTTTTTGTCTGTTTTTGTTGTTTTTGTTTGTTTTTTTGTAGTAGTTTTTTATGCTCCAATTGTTGTTGTTGCTGTTATTGTTGTTGTTGTTGTTGGTGTTGACGTTTTTGCTTTTGTTGTTGTTGTTGTTGTTGTTGTTGTTGTTGTTGTTGTTGTTGTTGTTGTTGTTGTTGTTGCTGTTGCTGTCATTGTTGCTGCTGCTAGGATGATGATGATAATACCTGATTCAAACTCATACGAAACGGTGTGGATTCCTGTATTTTTACCTTTAACTGCATTTCCCATTCTCTGCTTAGCACCGTAGTTCCCTTAGTCTAGCAACTTTTAATAATATTCTCTGCTATAATAATTGTCATAATATAAAATATTTGTCGCTGCTTTATTTATTCTGCGTCACATCTTTTATTTGTTTTTGTTTGTCAGCGTTACTTTATCGTGGTCTTTGTTACTGTTCAAAAGTTATAGAGCAGTTGTTTCTTTTTTTAATGATCCAAATGTTCTTTCTTCTGTGGCAGCTTGGCATGCCAGCTATAATTTTGTTAAAACGTATACCAATTCTAAGATTAAAAAGCTGTAGAAAAGCTTGTGAATTGTATGCTTATATAACACATAGGATCCAAATTAAAATGTATGTTTGATTCTTGAAAAACTGATAAAATATAAGATACTATTATGTTTGTGTTACAATTTCTGATTTTTTTAGACGTTATCCTTCTAAAACTTAATGCAATTGTTTGTTTTTTTCTTTCCGATTTCTTCATTTCTTGAATAATGTGCTCTCTGTGTCACTTAATTCCTCTAGTTTGATCATTGCTAGCTGCATCATTTGAACAAAGTGGTTGCCTTCAAGATTAGACGTCAATAAAAATATCTCAGTGAAATATCATTGTGCCTTCTCTGAGTTTTTAGTTTTGATAATATGTGTCAAGACGAGGTGGAATCAGACGATCGTCATTTTTTTTTTTAGCATAAAGAGTTTAGGTATAACCTCAATACCTGATTATTTGTCTTGCTTTTGATGGAAAAAAGTTCCCTTTATCTTGAAAAGAAGTCGACGTATTCGCGATTGAAGGAAGTGGGGGTTGCCCAATGTCAGAGGCAAACTCAGCCAGAAAACGGCTGCCAACGTTTGGTGGTTTCCAAAGCTGTAGTGACCTTGGAAAATGCAAATTTACACGTGCTGTAAAATTCTATTCAGAAATATATTTTAATGGACATAAAAGACGCTGAGCCAAGAAAATAAAAACTAATAAAAATTGCCCAAAGTGCGAAAAGGGTCGATTTCACTACTTCGACAAGCGCCTGATTTCACCATGATATCACACATTTTATTATAGTACGAGCATGTTCACCTTGATGTCGGGAAACTGGAAAGGTTTCCTCCTCTTCTGACTTTTTAAATTGGCCTAAGAGCTTTTTACGCCCCCATCGACATAGTTTTTGTGCCTAGTGGTTAGGCTCTCGGACTCGCAACCGTAAGGTCGTGGGTTCGAATCCCGTCGGGGGCTCGACGTTGTGTCCTTGGGAAAGGCACTTTACACATATTTTCCTCACTTCACCCACGTGGGAATGGGTACCCGGCTATAGACAGCGAAAGATCTTGTCAGTTTGTTAGTGTTTGAGCGCTTAATCAGCTGCTTGCACTGTATGCTTCCCGGGAAGCTGAGAATGTGTCGGAGTGTTCTATGGTCTGCTGGGGTAATAATATAGTGTAAAGCGCATAGAGCCTGCTGTTGAGCGGGGATATGCGCTATACAAATGCTATTTATTATTATTGTCATGCAGAAGATATGGGCTACTTTCACCGTGCACATCAGGGCCAGTCCGGGCTGAGAGGTTTCCAACGCTCCAGTAAAAAGGCCGAGATCCCTGAGGAAAAAAAACTACTATCCCCACTCGGGAATTAAACTAGGGTCTTCTGTGAGCAACGATGAAGAGCCCAACCACTGCTCCAAAGGTGCTGCTTCCTCCTCTTCTCGCTTTGAGTTAATTAGAGCAAAGAGAAGCATGTCAATGTGGCAATGTTCTTGTGGTGCTTGAAAACAAAGGTGGGAAAGAAGTGTGTATAATATTTATTACACCCTTATCAATATAACTAAATTATTCAAGAAGAGGGACCTCCGAAATCAGTGTCCGTCTCCGGTTGGACCGAGTTGAGCATCTCGAAATTTCCACGAAACAGCCCATCTCAAGTCCGTCCAGTCTGGGTTTCTGACCCGAGCTATCCTCTCCTTAGTCCAGCATGATACCAACTGGGCTAAAGGAGAAAAATTATATAGGCAGAAACAAGTGAAAGAAAGGCAGGAAGAAGGACTTACTTTTTTTAGCGCCCTCCAACCATCCACCTACTGTCTCTTTTTTTTCCATTTTCTCTCCTTCCTTTATTTAAATTGGTATTTTTACTCTAAACAAGAAGCCTGGTGGTTTGGAGGATTAGTCATTTTTCCTCTTTAATTTAACGTTTTAGAAAAGCCATTACCAAGTGACTTTGAGTAAAAAGCAGCACATCGTCGCAAATGACGGGTCAAATAGTAGAGAAGAAAAATCTAGACAAAGGAAAACAACAGAGTGAAAGGAGTAGGACTTCCCAGTTGCGAATTCCACTTTACCTAACTTTTCTGATAGTTTGTTATGGTGAGTGTTTTACGGCGCTCGCCGGTTTCGAACCCGGGACGTATTGAATGATAGGCGAACACTGTAACCTCTAGACTACGAGAGCCCCTTGATGGTGAGATTGTTGCACTGGGCATTTACAAAATATTATGGCATTGAACAAAAAGCACAGAAGTGTTATAAATGTAGCACATGATAGGCAAAATAAATGGAAACCGTTCTTCGCGTAAAAAGGAATCGGAACATTTTCACGTAGAACCAAACCAAAGATAGTACATAACAAGATGGTCCACTCAGCCAAAAAAGTGTCCGCCGGAAGTCCACGCTTTCTTCAGATGGCGCTGCAGTCTGTTTTGAAGCTCTCTTTCGTTTTTCCAGAAGAAGAATAGGAATAGCACCTTTTGCGTGCGCAGATCGACTGCTGTTCATCAGCAGTTCGGGTTCGTTCAGTGCGGAGTTTTAGGGTTTTTTAAAATTTTAATGACCTCTCGCCTTTCATTCTAAAGTCAGATTAAACAAAGAAAACAATCACCCCTTTCTCCGGAAAAGGTTTTTTGTCCGCGTAACCATTTTAAAAAAGCGTGCTTCCGAAATTTATTTAAAAACTTGCCAGTTTCACTTTGATTTTTAACACAAATAGGGTAACTGTGTTCGCAGAGGGTGCGCATTTGCGAAGAGGGCGCCACGAATTTTGAGGACACTTTTTTAATTGGCTCAAAGAGAGGAGTGGCCCCTCTTGTTATGTAGACTCTTTGACTAAACCAAAGATAGTAAATAACAAGATGGGCCACTCAGCCAAAAAAGTGTCCGCAGGAAGTATGCGCTTTGCTTCAGATGGCGCTGCAGTCTGTTTTGAAGCTCTCTTTCGTTTTTCCAGAAGAAGAATAGGAATAGCACCTTTTGCGTGCGCAGATCGACTGCTGTTCATCAGCAGTTCGGGTTCGTTCAGTACGGAGTTTTAGTTTTTTTAAATTTTAATGACCTCTTGCCTTTCATTCTAAAGTCTAATTAAACGAAGAAAACAATCACCCTTTCTTCCGGAAGAGGTTTTTTGTCAGCGTAACCATTTTAAAAAAGCGTTCTTCCGAAATTCATTCAAAAACTTGCTAGTTTCACTTTGATTTTTTAAACTCAAGTAGGATAACTCTGTTCGCTAAAGGTGCGCTTTTGCGAAGAGGGCGCCACCGAATTTTGAGGACATTTTTTTAATTGGCTCAAAGAGAGAAGTGGCCCCTCTTGTCATGTAGACTCTTTGACTAAACGCAGGAATCGGTTCCAGAATCGATTCTTCTCCCTGCTGTAAGTCAAGTTAGGGCCATGTTTGGGTTGGGGCTTCAAATGTTTTCGTTATAAGATTGTGGGTCTGGCCATTTGCAAATGGTATTTAACAAAAGAAAAACACAGACTCATTATACAAGGACGTCAATGGAATAAAATTCAGGCGTGATACCACCACACCCGCCAACTTTTCCTCTCTTTCTTCAGTTTCCTCAAAATTTAATAGTTTGGGGGTAGTTGGCGGGTGCTCTGGTGTGGTTACTTCATCTTTTCTATCAAATATCTATCGTCCTGATCTCTCCTCCTTCTTAATAGTGTTTGTTACTCTTGTAACACCCTTTAATCTTCGGCAATTGAATGACCTTATTGTGTTGTAGGTACT